CTAAGTCCAGTAACTGGGGTCCTTACAAGAAGGCCATGTGAAGACAGAGAGACACATAGGGAAGGCGGCCATGTGAAGACAGAGGCGGAAACTGGAGTGAGCTACAAGCCAAGGACTGCCAGGAGCCACCAGAAGCTGAGGAGAAGGCAGGGAAGCATTCTTCCCTAGAGCTTTTAGAGGAAGCATAAGCCCCATTAACAACTTGATTTTGGACATCAGGCTCCAGTACTAAGAGGGAATAAATCGCTGTTGTTTTAACCCACCCAGCTTATGGTACTTTGTTAAATAGCCCTAGGAAACGAACAGCACAAAGTTCCTTTGGGATGAAAATATTCTAAAATTGAAGGCTGCACAATTCTATGGAGATAATAAAATTATATACTTTAGGTGGATGAATTATTGAATAGATGGTATGTGAATTCTATTTCAATAAAGTCCTTACTAAAAAATATTTAAAGCTATAAAATGCTGAAGAGCTGACAAGGACCTTGACTAAACCCACCACGGGGAGCTTACATTTTTAGTCAATTGTTCAAGGCATGAAGAAGTTGAGAGTTAAATATTAGATAAATCTATTTATCTATTTATTTTTTAGAGATGGGGGTCTCGCTACATTGTCCAGGCTGGACTTGGAGTTAAAACAAGATTATTTGCTAGGTCTGTTACGGCCTTTCAAATTTTTGGGAAGAACTCTCTTGGTTGAAAGTCAGAAAACTGACTCAAACAGGCTTAATCAGAACAATATTAATAGGAATTTGTCCCACATATTGAAGTCTAGGGTAGGCACTGGCTTTGGACATCCACACAGTGTCACTGGATCTTTGATTCTCTTCCCTGTTTCCTTCTTTGTTGCCTTCGTTCTCAGCTGGCTGTCTCTGTGTGATGGGAAAAGATGGCTTTCGGCAGTTCCAAGATTATGTGGCCCTCGCAGCTCTGGATCAAAAGAGAGAATCTTTCCGAAAAGCTCCGAAACAACTCCAGGATTGTCCAGGGCTGGCTCACAGGCTCGTTCCTGAGGCCAGGGAGTAAGATTAGCTTCAACCAAGTCTGATAGATAGAGCAGGATCACCAAAAATGGAAAAAGGATGGCTTCCCAAAGGAAGAAAGGGAATACAAAATATATGTTCACTATGCCAGGCGAAGCTGCAAAGCTTGCAGAGATTAAACATCACTCATCTCAATAAATATTTGCTGAATTAATGTAGGAACACATAAAATAGAGCTGCTGCAGAGTACTTCAAACTCAAATCTCACATTTTAGAGAAGCGCTAAAACACAACCGAATTCAGATACTAAGGTCATTAGTAAGATACCACTTTAGGAGAGAGCTACTTCAATCAAGTATAAATTGCTGTATGTTCCAGATCCCATATTACACAAAAGAGATGCAGTGCTCTGAGAGAAGGCTTTTTACACGCCCCCATTTAGCCTAAGACTTGTCCACAATGAAGGAAGAAGGCAGTTCAATATGAAGGGTCCTATTACCAGCAAACAATTCGAAAACGTTTCCTTCTCATTTAAACTGGTGATAATCTGGTGGGTTTCTGATCCAGGATGCAAATGCCTGCTTCCGAAGTGTGCTCCAGGCTTCCTGGTAAGCAGATGCAGCCTCCTTGTACTCCTGGTAGGTAACCAGCTTCTGCACCCTAATGCACACACCACCAACACACAGGTTCTCACTCAACAGCTCACCCCCAGGGCCAGCCAGACTACCTGAGCAAGCCACTGGACAAATTTACAAGGGACTTAGAAACAGAAGGATTTTAGCATGCTTTTGTGAAAGCTGATCATACAAACTGGGTCATTCTTGTTACAGCCAACTAAAACAGAGTTGAGAAGCTGGGGTAAAAAACACTCAGGGCACATAACATTGTTCCAAGAATGTAATTCTCTGCAAGCTTGGCTGCCAAAAGTGCCTGCTATAACCTGAAATCAGTTTTACCTAATAGCTACTGAAACAACCTGCTGTAACTCCAGTTATACTCACCGCTGTCACTTAGCAATCAGAACTTGCCAGCTCCCCAAAACTTTACTAATGCCAATTAGCTTACTAGAAGGATACATAACGTTTCTCTGTTTTAATAAAACCTCTAACCTTCTTTTTGTTCTTCAGACATACTGAAGACTGCCTTGGTCTATGTGTATGCCCCAAACTGAATTCTCGTATTCCAAATAAAATGTTAAATTTAGAAATGTGTCCCGGCCGGGTGCGGTGGCTCACGCCTGTAATCCTAGCACTCTGGGAGGCTGAGATGGGAGGATTGCTTGAGGTCAGGAGTTTGAGACCAGTCTCAGCAAGGGTGAGACCCCGTCTCTACTAAAAATAGAAAGAAATTAGCCAGACAACTAAAACTAGAAAAAATTAGCTAGGCATGGTGGTACACAGCTGTAGTCCCAGCTACTCGGGAAGCTGAGGCAGGAGGATAGCTTCGGCCCAGGTGTTTGAGGTTGCTGTGAGCTAGGCTGACACCACAGCACTCTAGCCCGGGCAGCAGAGCGAGACTCTGTCTTAAAAAAAAGTTTTCCAAGGGTCTGTAATGTCCACCAGAAGATGTAGCCATTAGAAACTTCTTGGCTGTATTTTTCCTAACCAACAAAGAACTTTCCATTGTTTCCACATGCTCCTGGCTAAATATCTCTGGTGAACATCCCTTTACAAATCCCTTTCATCTCTGACTGCTGAAGAATGGCTGACGTGCTGAGTAAGATTTGTGATACTCTCATCCAGTTAAGATTTTCTTCTGACAAAGACTCTTCTTTGACCAAACCTGAGGCCACTCTTTGATTAGGCCCCAACCTTGGGCTGTCTGTCGTTGGCCTGCTTAGTCCAGTTTTAGCAAGAATCCTGCTGAGTCAGTTTAGCAAAAAAGCCCAGACTCTTAGTGTCTGATCACCCTAAATATCTGATCAAATTTCTCACCCAGCCCCTTGATACCTTATCACCTTGGCCTTGATGTTTTCTCTTAGTAATTTTCCATCCACTCACCCCCACCCTGCTCCTTGGCTATAAATCTCCACTTGTACCTATATTTGGAGTTGAGCCCAGTCTCTTTCCCCTACTGCAAAACCCCACTATAGTAATCCCTCTTGAGAAGTCTTCTTTACCATCTTTAACAAGTGTCTAAATAATTTTTTCTTTAACACTTCTGAAGCCCACACATCTCAGCTGTAGAATAAATGTTTATCAAATAAAAATAGTAGCTACAAAGAATTGCACATGCAGGCATGCCCCTGTAGTCCCAGCTATTCAGGAAGCTCACCTGAGTCCAGGAATTTGAGTCCAGCCTGGACAATACAGAGAGACCCTGTCTCTTAAAAAAAAAAAGTAGCTACCAGTTATCAAAAACCCTACTACAAACCAGGCCCTGGGTAAAGTGCTTCATATTTCCCTTAACCTTCTTAGCTATCTCGTGACACAGTTAATGTGACTATTCCACTCTTAGAATTGAAGAAATTGAGACACGTGTCTTACTGATTCACTTTTATCCTGTTTCTACTATTTTGTTCTTTGCCAAGATCTGAGGAGACCAAGGTTATTTCTTAGCTCACCTCAGCAAAGGGAAAAGCTGTTTCTTATCACAAAACATCGATTTAAGTTCTTTGATCAATGTCCTACAGCTTTTTGTTAGTTAAGGAATGGGATCCATGCACATGACAATGTTAAACTTTACCTGAGCTCTGTGCTCCTGGGAAACTGCTATGGTTAAGAAATCTTCATCTTACCCTTTTGTGTTCTGGGAAACGGCTCAGTGCAAAGAACCACCACCCTTCCCTCTATGACTAAGACTCAGGGATGCTTCCCTTGTTCATCTGTGACAAGGCCAGACAGACACTCTGAATTCCCCTTCTTTGTCTCACAATCATTAGCTGAACCGTTTGTACCCACTGACCAATCTCTACAAACTACCTGCTAATGTGACCAAGCATTAGTTAAGCTTCTCTCCTTCCCCCAGATCCCAGGACTTTGATCTTCCCTCAGCCCGAGCCAGCATCAGGATGTGTAGCAACCTCTTCTTATCAGCCCCGCCTGAGAATCTGCTGGCCACAGAGAAAGACGTTTCCTGCTCAACTGTCCCATCGTGCCACCTGCTCATCCAAGTCCCCCATCCCTGGTTCTTTTCAGCCTGTTTCCCCCTCCCTGTAAAAGAGCATTCCCTTCTGCCTGCCCTTTGAGGGGCTCACAGACTGTGGATGGAGTGTCCTCCCTGTTGCAATAGTCCTCCTCTCCCTATTGGAATAGTCCCCTTTTTCTTATTGCAACAATCCTTTTGGATAAAGTCTCTCCTTACCTAAATCCAGATTTGTTTTTATTAGATACACAGAATATATAGAAACCCACCCGGTTCCAGTTTGATTCATTTTTTCCAGATAAGAAACAAGCAAACTGACCACAGATGACTGGAGGGCATCAATACTGACTTCAGTATGCATCATGGTGATTAACAAGTGGCCAGCTGCTTCATACAGAAGTTTCTTAGCTTCCCCACTGTTGTATATTGAAGAATTTGCCTGATTTTTTTTACCAGTTCCTGGCAGGGAGCCTCTAAACCCTTGGAGTTTCCTAAGTGATAGAAGTGTCTTTGTTATTCACGGTGGACCCCTCTGACCACACCTGAGTTTATCATGCTGACTCAAAGTGGGCCCCTGAGACAGTTTCAGGATGATGCTGGCCATGTGATTAGAGGGTTGGGGCTTTGAGCCACCTGATATCAGTCTGACCTCTTGGAAGAAAATGGGGTTGGAGATTGAGTTCAATCATATCACTTGGCCAATGATTCAATAAATCCTGCTATGTAATGAAACCCCAATAAAAACTTTGGACACTGATGTTTGAGTGAGATTTCTTATTGGTGATACACAGTGACGTGCCAGGAGGGTGATGCATCCTGGGGACATGGAAGCTCTGCCTTTGGGACCCTCCCATATCTCGTCCTATGTGTCTTTCTTTTTAACTAACTCTGATCTGTGTCCTTCATAATAAAACTTGAATTGCAACTGTTGTGCTTTCCCAAGTTCTGAAAGATGTTCTAGGGAATTATCGAACATGAAGGGGTAGTAGAAACCCCAATTTGTAGCCAGTTGGTCAGAAGTACAGGAGGCTTGGAGACCTCCTAAACTTGCAGCTGGTGTCTTAAGTGAGGGCAGTTTTGTGGGGACTGTGCCCACAACCTGTGAAATTTAACCTTACTCTAGGTAGTTAGTGTCAGAATTCATTGCACCCACCCACTTGTTCCTGGTAGTGGTTTTACAGTTCTCCACATTCCTATTTGTTTGGAGAGCAATTTAAATCACGGAGCTTCAAGTTCAAAAGAAAAAAGAGAGTAACATTCCTAACAGAATATATTGCTCTCCAGGCACTCCCATTTCCATAATGCTCTCCATTCAGGGGTAGAATCAAAGGAGGGCCCGGAATAGGCCAAGCCCCAAATCTACCCTTAGTCTTTCATAACTTTGTACCACCAAATGACCCATCCTCTGCATCTCAGATCACACACGTATCTACAAATAGGGCTGTGGGGATAGAAAAGCTCCTGGTCAATAAGTGTCCATTGGCTTGCTAAACCACCACTCCTGCCAAAGCTTCCTGCCATTTATAGGCCAGAATCAAAGCAGAAGTCTTCCTAAATACAAAAAAACATGGGTCAAGAGTATTACCTGAGGGAGTCTGGCCACTGGTCCTCTGCAATACTGCTCAGAAGCTTCTGGAATGATCTAAAGAGCTCCACTTTGCTGATTCGGGATCTGTTTGGGAAAAAAAAGGCAAAGATGATTTATTAAGTGTGTACGATGTACCAAGCCCCTATCAAAGAAACCAGGCTTCACTTGGTGTTTAGAGTTGAATGCACCAGAGCCCCCATTTTCACCTGTATTTGGCAAGGAGAACATCTAGACCTGGATGTCTGATCAGGCTGAGGTACCAAAATGAACCTCATCTTAAGAAATGTCAACACCAGTGGAATCATTAAAGTGACAAGCTCAAATGGGTACACTGAAGTCTAATTACTAAATCTTGCCCCAGGCTATCTGTAAGACACTGGTGGCTAACTCCTCTCAAGAGAGCTGGCCCCCATGGGTAATACTGTTCACAAGAAATGAAAAGCTTTGTTTCAGACTTGAGTGCTGTTCCCTTTGTAAACTGTAGTTATAAAGTCTACTTGGATGAGCCCGCTGAGGCAGAATCTCCAGACCCCGCTGTGGGTATCATGGGCCTTTGGAGGCCAAGCCTTTGCTCCCAAACAACCAACTTCTGGGTGGAGGCCATGCTTTGGAATACTTAAGGAAGTGAGGGTTGATCCTTTATGAGCCCGGCGAGGCCTTCTTGGTTTCTGTTCACCCAAGCCAAGGGTGGCCTTGATAGTATTGCATGGGCTGCCTTCCTTTCCCTCTTATACACAATTCGTGAGTTGCATCTAGAAATCAGGAAATGCTGTGTATGCCAACAATGTAGTCTCATCTTTACAGACATACCCTGCACTGTCCTAGCAAATCATATCTTCAGCTTGGACACAGTGGCCATAACTGGTATATGTGAGACAGGGAATTGTACAGTCTACTAAAAAGCTCCCTTACGTGGCTGGGACGTAGGCCACGTCAGGAATCACTGCTTAAACGGCGAACCTTGAGCCCTCACACACTGCTCTCCCTAAGCCTTAATTGTACTGGAGTGGCTGCTGGCACTCAGGAACATAAAGCTGCTTTTGCATGAAAACAAAGCAAAAACTAATGGAATGTTCATGAACAGATTAAAGAAGAAAAATAATATGAGAAAAATAGATGCAGAAAGAGCATTTGGGAGAATTCAACATCCTTTGAGTAATTTAAAACCTTTTAGCAAACTAGGACTGGGGAAGACAGTACTTAAATTCATAAAGGGTAGCTATAAAGAACCTACAGCAAATGTATGTCCTTAAAATCAGGAGTAAGACAAGGGCACTTGTCATCATTGCTTTCATTCAACATTATACAGAAGGTTCTGGTATGATAAAAAAAAAAGGAATAAGAATTGAAAAACAAAAACCAAGTGATTACTTGCAGATGACTGCAATACTGTCAGTTCTAGTCAGCACAGTAAGACAAGAACAAGAAATAAAAGGAATTGAGGATTGGAAAGGAAGAAACACAGCTGTCCCTTCAACACAGGATTTTAACTGCATGGCAGCACTTATACATGGATTTTCTTCCACGGCCGCCACCTGAGAGAGCAAGACCAACCCCTTTGCTTCCTCTTCCTCCTCAGCTTACTCAATGTGAAGATGACACGGATGAAGGCCTTTATGAGGATCTACTTCCATTTAATGAATAGCAAATATATTTTCTCCTATGATTTTCTTTTTTTTTTTTTTGTGACAGAGTCTCGTTCTGTTACCCAGGGGAGTGCCGTGGCGACAGCCTAGCTCACAGCAACCTCATACTCCTGGGCTCAAGTGTTCCTCCTGCCTCACCCTCCCGAGTAGCTGAGATTACAGGCATGCACCACCATGCCCGGCTAATTTTTCTATTTTTAGTAGAGACGGGGGTCTCACTCTTGCTCAGGCTGGTCTCAAACTTCTGAGCTCAAGTAATCCTCCTACCTCGGTCTCCCAGACAGAGTGCTAGGATTACAGGTGTGAGCCACCACAACCAGCCCCTTACAATTTTCTTAATAACATTTTTTTTCTCCAGCTTACTTTATTGTAAGGATACATATATGGCACAGATAACATATAAAATATATGTTAATCTAACTGCTTATCTTATCGGTAAGGCTCATGGCCAACAGTGGGCTACTGGAAGTTAAGTTTTTGGGAAGCCAAAAATTACATGCAAATTTTTCAGTGGACTTGTCTCAAGTCACCCAGATAACTGGAGACAGAGCTAGGGTTAGAACATGAGGCACTCCCAATCACACAGATAACACTGACATATAGGGACAAGCTGGACAACAGCACTTTAGGAATTTGGAGAAAAGATCATTTTAAACCAGAAGACAGTGGTAGTAAAGCTGGGCTTTTAAGGCAAAAGAGGGTATGGTCTCATAGCAAAGAAAAGCATTTCAGTTCTGAGCAACGCAGCACACAGAAGCCACTGTCAGCCAGGGCAGCGGAGGGTGGGGCCCGTATGAGGAGCTGCGAGGTAGCGACTGACAACAGAGACAGCTAAGCAGGCAACATGTGGTCTCCGTCCCTCATGACCTGCTCTGCTCACATATTGTGGTCTGTGGCTGAGAGTTGGTTTCCCGAGAAGTGCAAAAGATGAACTGAAACCAAGAAGGCTGTTGGGGAAAAACTGGTCCAAAAATCTGTGCCCCCAACAATTTTGTAAATATTACTCAATTCGACAGCCTAGGCTGCCACGAGATAGGCAGGGTCTGCTGTCTAGGCCATTTGAATCCTGGCAGTTATTGGCTGTGAAGAAGAAAATCTTTTTTAAAAAGATTCTAAAATAGAGGTAAGTTGAGTTTTGTTATTGTTTGTTTTGAGGCATGCAAATACACATGTCAAAAAAAGAGAAACAAAACCATCTGTAAACTTTCATTACAAATACAGCTTTTTATAAGGGCATGATAAAGAAATGGAAAGGCAACTTAGAGTAAAAGCCTATCAGCTATGGGAGTGCTACAACAGTCACAGTGGAGGCAGCTCAATCCAGACTGAGATGGAAACAAACGCCTTTGGTGGAGAGGCCACTCCCCTGAAGCCCCTCCTACCCCTGGGCTATTCTAGATGACCTCTAGCTGACAGGGAGGGAAAAGCAGGGTGAGGAGATTGGCCAAGCATATAGAAAGAGACACACCCATAAGGCAGATGCATGAACCTCCTGGGATAAAACCTGAGTCTCTCATGTCCAGCAGCTCACAAGCCCTGCACTTCAGTAAAAGCCAATCTGAAGATGCAAAGTCCTGTTTCCAGGTGCCCTTTTTGCCAGTCCAATCACTGTGGAGTTTCATAAATGATTCTTGAGTTCCAACCCTGACCTACTAAACCAGAAATCCCTAGTGGTGAAACCCAAGAAAGTATTCTTTTAAAAATCTCCCCAGGGGAAACAATAGTCTTTCCAAAAAATGGTGCTGGGACAACTTTATATCCTGTCCACATGCAAAAGAATGAAGTTGGACTCCTTACTCATACTGCATAGAAAAATTCACTCAAAATGGATCAAAGTCTTAAACACAAGAGCTAAAAGTATAAAACTATTAGAAGAAAATATAGACTAAATCTTTGTGACCTTGGATTGGGCAATGGTTTCTTAGATCCAACACTGAAAGCGCAACCAACCAAAGGAAAACAAAAATACAAAAATATGACTTCATCAAAATGTAAAACTTTTGTGCTTTAAAGCTGTGGTCCCCAAGCCCCCCGGACTGCAGACCAGTACCAGTCTAGGGCTGGTTAGGAACCTAGGAACCAGGCCGCACTGCAGGAGGGGAGTGGCTGCTCTAGTGAGTGAAGTTTCATCTGTATTTACAACCACTCTCCATCATTTGAATCACCACCTGAACTCTGCCTCCTGTCAGATCAGCAGGGGCATTAGATTCTCATAGGAGTGTGAACCCTACTGTAAACTGTACATGTTCCGAACTCCTTATGAGAATCTAATGCCTGATGATCTGAGGTGGAGCTGAGGTGGTGATGCTAGCGCTGGGGAGCAGCTGCAAATACAGATTATTACTAGCACAGAGGTTTGACTACATAATAAATCAACTGCTTGCATTGTCATATCAAAACCCTATCAGTGAGTGGCAACTGACAATGTAATAATAATAGAAATGAAGTGAACAATAAATGTAGTACACTTTGAATCATCCCAAAACCATCCCTCTCCTAGCCCAGTCCATGGAAAAACTGTCTTCCATGAAACTGGTCCCTGGTGCCAAAAAGGTTGGGGACCACTGCTTTAAAGGACATTATCAAAAAGTGAAAAGACAATCCATAGAACTGGAGAAAATATCTGCAAATCATATCTGATAAGGGACTAGTATCCAGAATATATAAAGGAATCTTGCAACTCAACAATAAAAAGACAAGTATACCAATTAACAAAATGGGCAAGGGACTTGAATACATATTTCTTCAAAGTAGACAGATAAATGGTTAATAAGTACATAAAAAGATGCTCAACATCATTAGGGAAATACAAATCAAAAATCACAATGAGAGGCCGGGCGCGGTGGCTCACGCCTGTAATCCTAGCACTCTGGGAGGCCGAGGCGGGTGGATTGTTTGAGCTCAGGAGTTCGAGACCAGCCTGAGCAAGAGTGAGACCCCGTCTCTACTATAAATAGAAAGAAATTAGCCAAACAACTAAAAATAGAAAAAATTAGCTGGGCACAGTGGCATGTGCCTGTAGTCCCAGCTACCCGGGAGGCTGAGGCAGTAGGATCGCTTGAGCCCAGGAGTTTGAGGTTGCTGTGAGCTGATGCCACGGCACTCTAGCCGGGGCAACAGAGTGAGACTCTGTCTCGAAAAAAAGAAAAATCACAATGAGATACCACTTCACACCCACTAGAATGGCTACAGTAAAAAAAGGTGTTTAAAGGATACAGGGTAATTGGAACTCTCATATATTGTTTTTTTGGAATGTAAAATGGCATAACTGCTAAGGAAAACAGTTTAGTGGTTCCTCAAAAAGTTAAACATATGGTTACCATATGACCTAAAAATTCCACTCCTGGGTATTACCAAGAAAATGGAAAACATATGTCTACTCAAAAACTTGTACATGAATGTTCATAGTAGCACTATTCATAATAGCCAAAAAGTGAAAGCAATCCAAATATCCATCCACAAATGATATAATTTGGATGTTTGTCCCCTTCAAACCTCATGCTGAAATCTGATCCCCAATGTTGGAGGTGGGAGGTATTTGGATCTTGGGGGTGGATTCCTCATGAATGGCTTGGTGCTCTCCCTGAGGTAATGAGTGAGTTTTCACTCTATTAGTTTATGAAAAAGCTGGTTGTTCAAAAGAGCCTGAGCACCTCCTCCTCTGTCTCTTGCTCCCTTCTCTTGTCATGTGACACGCCTTGCTCTGCCTTCACCTTCTGCCATGAGTAAAAGCTTCCCAAAGCCCTCATCAGAAGCAGGTGCTGGTGCCATGTTCTTGTACAGCCCACAGAACCATGAACCAAATAAACCTCTTTTCTTTATAAATTACCCAGTCTCAGGTACTCCTTTATAGTAACACGAAATGGATTAAGACAACAAATGAATAGTTTAACAAAATGTGGTATATCCACACAATGGAGTATTATTCAAGCCATGAAAGTAGTACCACATGCTACATCATGGATGTACCTCCAACATAGTATGCTAAGTGAAAGAAGCTAGATACGAAAGGTCACATACTATATGATTCCAATTATATGAACTGTCCAGAAAAGATAAATCCATAGAATAAAGTAAATTAAGTAAATTAGGTTTCCAGGAGCTGAAGAGAGAGGGAGGAGTAGGTAGTGACTGCTAATGAATATTGGTTTTCTTTTTGGGGTGATAAAAATGTTCTGGAATTAGACAGTGGTAAGGTGTCAGTTCACAGCCACCATTTCCTCCTGCCCAATATGCTGTACCTTGCCTGAAGGCTTCCAATTCCTTTCTTTGTTGTTCCCTGTGGAAAGCCATTGGCGGTAACATCCAATGGCTGCTCAGGAACTGCACTCCAGCTGATGGCTATGAAAAGAAGATATTCTAGGGTTAAAACTGTTCAGTTTCCTGTGAATACCAGATGTATTTTACTTTATATTTTTGTTTCAGGGGCGGAGTCTTACTATATTGTCCAGGCTAGATTCAAACTCCTGGGCTCAAGTGATCTTCTGCCTCAACCTCCTGAATAGCTGGGATTACAGGCACGTACCACCATGCCCAGGTCAGAAGTATTTTAATAAAAATATTTCTCTGACTCTACAGACCCATAAGAGCTGGAAATGATGTCAGAGACAACGACTGCCACTTGGATACTTGGCCTCCAGGGCACAGGGTACAACAGTATAAAGTGGTTCATAATTCATTATCATTATAATAGTTAACAATTATTGAGCATTTATTATATGATGGACACAGAATTTCTCACTTAATCTTCATAATAACCCTGGTAAGTGATATTCTTCTAATCTAAAGATAGAGAAACTAAGGCCAAGAGAGGATAAGTAACTTGCCAAGGGTCACACAGAACATAAACCCGACCCAGTATGGGTGTCTCCAACGCCCACATTATTGACCACTTGGTGGTAAACTGCCTTCCTGGGCTTGGAGGATGCAGACTCTCCCAGGCCACTCTCAGGGGAGAAGTTACTCCCGGGCAAGTCTAGCCTGGATCTCTTACCTGCCCCGCAGGGAACAAGTCGGCCCGAGCTGTCAGCCCTTTCTGCCTGCACTGCACAGCGGCTGTGTTCAAATAGTAAATCAGACTGCTGTATTTTCAGTTCTTGAACGCCAAAGCCTTTGGGTAAAGCCGATACATTCTGACACCTAAATGTGAGGGAAAATGCCTTCAGTTGAGGCACATGCCTAGAGAAAAACAGTATTTAGGATTGTGGACCTCATCGTCCCTGAGCCTTAGTGGGATTCCAAAGCCTTAGGAAGTGTGTGGATTTGTTTTTTTGTTTGTTTATTGGGGGAGGGGACAGCATCTAGATTGTAAGAACCTTATGGCTGGAGGAAGATCCCTCCCCATCACTCCGAAGGAATAACTAAGAATCAAGTCAACACGCTTCTGTAACATCAGTAACACCAAACTCCATTCCTCACACAGATTTTGAGAAACATGAAAACTTTAAACAGAAACATTAACTCGTTGGCACCTGCTTCCTAAGGAATCCTTCAAATACATTGAAAATTATCCTATAACATAAAAACTTCATTTCTTTCTCTTTTATCTTTTAAAAATGTATGTTTATGGGGATATAGTTCACATACCATAAAATTCACCCATTGAAAGTGTATAATTCAATGGTTTTTTAGTTTATTCACAGAATTGCACAACCATCACCACAATGTAATTTCAGAACATTTTCATTACCCCAAAAGAAACCTCGCACCCATTAGCAGTCAGTCTCTATCCCCTTCTCCAGCCAACGGTAACCACTAAGCTACTATCTGTCTGTATGGATTTGCCTATTCTGGATATTCCACATAAATGAAATCATACAATATGAGGCTTCTTTCACTTACCAGGATGTTTTCAAGGTTCGTTCATGTTGTAGCATGTGTCAGTGCTCCAGTCTTTCCCATGGCTGACTCATAGTCCATTGTACAGACAAACCACATTGCGTTCATCTGTTCATCCACTGATGGACATTTGTCTCATTTTTTGGATATCATGAATAATGCTGCTATGTGTACAACATTTGTGTACAAGTTTCTGTGTGTCATTTCTCTTGGATATGTACCTAGGAGTGGACTTGCTGGGTCACACCTTGGGGCTGCACATTTGACACGGGCCCACGATGCTCCCCCTGGCCATGGCTTTGCCCTGCTCTCGTTCACAGCATTAATCAGGTCTGGCTGCCTCTTTTAGGGAGACCACACTTGAGTGATCATCCTTTGTCTTTTTAAAACTTAAAACTAACATTGAGGGACTTAAAAAATTATAATAGCAACATTATGTACACTGTAGAAAAATTAGAAAATATAGTAATAACAAAGAAGATAAAACTACCCACAATATAACTCAGAGGTGACTATTCTTAATACCTTGGTGTATATCCTCCTATAATTTCTATGTGTATATGTATTTTAAGACCAAAGTGAGCTCATTTTATCTTCTAAACTGCTCTTAAGTGTTATGAACATGTTTTCACATTAAATATTCATCAATATTATTTAAAAAACACTTATAATTTCCTATTGCTGGGCATTTCAAGTGTTTCCTTTTTCTTTTCTTTTTCTTTTTTTTTGAGACAGAGTTTGGCTTTGTTGCCCTGGCTAGAGTGCCGTGGCGTCAGCCTAGCTCACAGCAACCTCAAACT